CTTACTTATTCCTCATTAACATCAGTTGTTAAGGAGAAAGAAAGGGCCGCTGTTGTTTCTAAGGAAGAAGGGCCTCCGTGTTCAGGTGCCCTGGAACGTACGTCATTGGCGGTATAGAGTTACCTCTGTATTCTGATGAGCTGTTTTCACACCCTGGCAATACTGTGACATGAAAGAGACCCAGTCTTTGATCTTCTCCCTGGGGGAGGAAGAGAGTTTGAGCTGGCATTGGCAGCAATGCTCCCAAACTCATTCTGAACTCGTTCTTTGATTGCAGTCAGAACAGCTTTGGGATCAGCTGCCCACAAAATGAACTCTTGGCCCAAGTAGTTTGAATGGTTCTCTGCCCCCTTGTGTCTCTGCATCTACACAGTTGAATTAACTCTCCTCCTGACACCTCCAGTAGGGAACATGGGGTCCGGAGCTTCTGCTTTCCATGGTGTTCTGCCTGTCAGCCTCGTTCCAGACCCTTAGGAAATGTAGTTTAAGAAGATTGCCGTATTGGTTAGTTTTTTCTTTTTTTTTTTTGTCAACTGGACACAAGTCCAGGAAGAGGGAAACTCAATTGAGGAAATTCCTTCATCAGATTGACCTATAGGCAAGCCTGTGGGGGTATTTTCTTGATTAAATATCAATGCAGTAGGGCCCAGTTTTCTGTGGGCTGTGCTGCCCCTGGGCAGATGGGTGCTGTAAGAAAGGAGGCTAAACCAGCCATATTGAGCAAGCCAGTGAGTAGCACTCCAGGCTCCATGGCTTCTGCATCAACTCCTCCTCCAGGTCCCTGACTTCCCTCAAGGATGGACTGTAATCCAAAGGACTTGTAAGATAATAGATCCATCCGTCAGGTGTCACATCACAGCACATAGAAAAGTGCACAAGGCAAGTGCACGTGTGAACTGATACATCCCTGCCTTCTCTTCTGCTGTCTTATGTGACGATTTAAAAGACAACTTTGCAGCTTTTGTGACAATTTAAAAGAAAACTTTGGCTTTGTGCTTGGCTTCCACCTCTGTCTTCTCCTCCCACACCAGAATCCCTCTCTCCAGCAGATAAACGGGTGTGAGAATTCTTCTGCTAGCAACAGGAGGCTCTCTTAAAAACTGCAGATGCCTTGAAGATGAGCACAGTCTCTCCCTGCAGCTCCTACAAATGTTTTTGGTCATTTTTCTTCACAGAAGGCATCTGGGTGATAGTGGCTGTTGTGACGTGCTTTGTGACCCTCTCCTCAGCTACTATGTCTTAGTTCTAGCTCCTGGTCCTCAGATGTCACCTTTTGAAGAAAGGGACTGTTTACAGAAATAACCAGTTGAGATCATAATGGAATACAGGTACCTTTTAAACTAGTAAAACTGGTATCTGGGGGAGGGGGTGGAGAAATTTGACCTAGAGGTGTGTGAATATGGGGAAGACCATGTGAAAGCCAGGGTTTGGCTGCTGTAACCAAGGCACTGCCAGCAGTTCTGAGAAAGAGGTTTGAGAAGAGCCTGCCTTCCACAGAGCTTCACAGGGGTGGCAATGCCAGGCCTCATTGCTGACTCCCAGTCTTCAGAACAGTGAGGTTATAAACCTCTGTTGTTTTAAACACTGTTACAACACTCACAGGCAACTAGCATAATGATTCTTCATTTTAAGAGCCAGGGAGGAAGCTTAGTTGGCACTTGCCATGCAACCATGAGGGTCTGAATTTAATCCCTACAGAATTGCCAGGTGCCGTGGCGCATTCTCAACACCAGCTGGGGAGTCAGAGGCAGGTGGATCCCTGCAGCTTGCAGGTGAGCCAGCCTAGCTTCATTCAACTCCAGTGAGGGACCCTGTGTCAAACAACAAAATAGACTTCATATCACACACATGTGCACACACACTCACATGTGTGGCCACACACACACACACATGCACACTTACATGTGCAACCACACACACACACATGTGCAGCCACACATTGTGCAACCACACACACACATATGCACACTTACATGTGCAACCACACACACACACATGTGCAGCCACACATACACATACTTATATGCACACACTTGCATGTGCACGTGTACATTTGTAGTCACACATGTGTGCGCACATGCTCACATGTGAAACCACACACATGTACACACATGCTTATATGTCTAGCCATACACCTATGCACACACACTTATGTGTGCACTCATACCCACATGTGCAGCCACACACACATGTACACACACTCACATGTACAAGCACACACAACCATTTTAGCATACAAGGAAGACGGAATCTCTGCATTTGCAGCCTGGTTTATATTCACAGCCTATTTATTGCCTATAGGCTCACAATGCCTTTGCTTTCATGCACAGCAGACGCGCTGTCATCACACGGCTCACCTGTCATGGCCAATGAGAAAGTAGTCCCTGTTCGCGGTTCTGATGGACATCACCTCATCTGGGTGGACCTTGAACATCTTCTGCACAGATTGCATCTTCTCCTGGCTATTTATGCCAACTTCTATGGTGGTGCTTCTGAGACAGACACAAAGTAACTCAGCGGATGCAGAGAGCAACTTAAGATAGAAACAGACTCCTGTTTTAAATTGGGAATGAAGCTGAGCATTCCATTGACCCACATGTTAAAGACTGTCTAGTTCTCGTCACAAATCTCATTTGAATTCTTTCTATTTTAGAAAATAACTCTGGATCTGGCTCATCAGTAATTGAAAATACTCTGTTCAGCTTGCAATTCAATTCAGAAGTTTCTATTTGGGTTGGGTTCCTGAGTCCACAAATCTCAATATTTCCCAATATTCCTGGTACATGACTTCTGAAGAAAAGACAAAGAATAGTTGATCTAAATATTTCTTAAACTCCACCTTGGCTCTGTGAAATTGCGCTTCAGGGGCTCTATCTCATCAAAAAAAATTAAGTGAGACAAAGTTTTTAGCCAAATGCTCAGGAATTAGTGAGGTGCCACCTACAACATACAACAGGACCTAACGACCTCACTTTTACCTACACGGTCATTGTTTCAGTTAGAGACACAAACACTGGCAGTTCTGAAGTGCTTGCTGCTTTTTGTCAGAGAGCAGCTTGTTTAGCGCTGGGCTCGGGCGCATTTGCTGCTGTTCAGGTTTCCTGGTTCGGATACACACCCATCCAGCTCGATGGTGCCTCGATGTTGATGATGGTCCTTGTAATAGGAAAGAGTCAGGCCCTTCCCCCCACTCTGGGACAGGATAAAAAGCCGCTTCTTCCAGGAGGTCTGAAAAATGAAAAGGTTTAGTTGTTCATTAAACCTCAGAAGATGAGCAGGGACTTTTTTTCAGATGCTCATGAGCTTGTGGGAGGCTGGTCAAACCAGGCAGGTACTTACCGCAGAGAAGAAAAGCTGAGGGGGTGGTGACTTAATGAAGTAATCTTGCTTATGGACTTCATTTTCATAATCCATTGTAAATTGTTTGCCTAATAAAAGAAAGTGAAGATTCAGTTTGTTCTCTCGTAAGTTTCAGAAAAGAACGACTTCATTTGCAAAACACTGTTTATCTTCAAATTATGCAGTTATTCAATAGAACATCATGCACAATAGCTGTTGTCTGTCTTCCCCCCCATCCCACCCCTACAAAAGACCAAGTGAAGAGCAACAGCTGGCGCCACCATTCGGATGCCTTTAGCGGCAGCTTCATTTGGCTCACACATGCCCGCCTTAGTTTCTGCACTTTTGTCTCTTGGGGCCACAGAGAAGGAAATGCAGGAGAGGGGCCTCATGAGCATGACTGGATTCGGAGGATCCAGCTGAGGACGAGGCCTCAGCTGCTCTCTCGTACCACCCCCACTCCCTTTCCATCCAACAGGCTTTAAGCCTGTGGTAATGTCTGTCTTTTCTGAACCCAAGGGCAGACTATACCTACAGACAGTGATACCAGAGTAAAATGTGCCCTTAAACACAATTTTAACAGCACTGTTTTCCCAAGTGAAAGTAGCCTGCCGTTCACTTAGACAGTTTAGAAGCTACAAAATGATGATGATGATGATGATGATGATGATGATTAAATCTGCCTTTAATTCCAGGGATTACAATGAAACAGTTAATATTTAGGAGCCTCTTTACTGCTCTTGCCAGCCCAGCTTCCACCGGTCACCAGAAAAACATCTCAAAGGCAGACATTGGAGAAGACTGCATGCATAACAATGTCCATGCATAACAAAGATAAGCAACAAAAGAGCTCTGTTTCTTTTTAAAATCCCACTTATGTGTACAAATGGCTGGCCTGAAAGCATGTCTGTATACCATGTACCACATGCATGCCTGGTGCCAGAGAGGGCCAGAAAAGGACGTCATATGCCCTGAAATTGGAGTTACAGATGGTTGTAAGCCTCCACGTGGGTGCTGGCAATCAAACCTAGGTTCTCTTGGAAGAACAGCCAATTGTCTCAACTGCTTAGCCATCTCTCCAGCCCCAACTGTTAGATTTCTTGTTAGAAATAGAAACAAGAAAATGTAGACCATTATACAGCACCGAAGAAATGTCACTATTCAAAGTCCTATACGAAGCAAATACATTTTTTAAATAAGAAGGCGATTTGGAGACATTTTCAGAAATGCAAATTTTGAAAGAATTTTATGATTAGGAAGCTTCTGCTATCAGAGAGGATGCTTGCTAAAGGAAACCCCTTAGAATGCACTAGAGGCATGCAGAGCACTGATGGGAACTACAAGGCTGAATGTGTGAGGTGACTTTTCTTATTATTTAAAGCATCCAATAATTCAGCTCACTATACAAAAATAGCCATGCACTGTGCAGATTATAATGATGTGTGAATAATGTGAATTCCAATAGCAGTGTAAAGGCTGGGGACAGAAAACAACATTACATCTCTGTAATGAGTCTGGATTATTTGTGAGCTAATATACCATTACTTGGGCTTAGGCTGCTGTGTGTTTAAAAATATATAAGCACCAAAATAATGGCTAAAATAATATAGCACAGTTTAATAAACTAATAAGACAGATGAAGTAAAATCATAAAAGTGCTTATTAATTCACAAAAAAGCAGGAAATGTGGTGGTGGTGAGGACTGGGGCAGGCCAAATGAGAGAAATAGAAAACAGCAATATGATACCGTCAAGCCTGAACACAACCGTCACGTAAAATCTAAATAGCCCAAGTACCTGAACTAAAAGGAAGACATTGTCAAATGGGATCTGGCTCGGTGCTGCTTATAAGAAACACTGTAAGTGTAAGAGGCACGAGTGAAAGAAGAAAACGATGCGTGTCTTAGTCGGGGATTCCATTGCAGAAGCAACTGGGTCTATTCGGCTTACACTTCAGGTAACTGTCTATCACTGAGGGAGATTACCCAGGAACTCAAGGCAGGAACCTGGAAGCAGGGCGCCACCATTCGGATGCCTTTAGCGGCAGCTTCATTTGGCTCACACATGCCCGCCTTAGCTTCTGCACTTTTGTCTCTTGGGGCCACAGAGAAGGAAATGCAGGAGAGGGGCCTCATGAGCATGACTGGATTCGGAGGATCCAGCTGAGGACGAGGCCTCAGCTGCTCTCTCGTACCACCCCCACTCCCTTTCCATCCAACAGGCTTTAAGCCTGTGGTAATGTCTGTCTTTTCTGAACCCAAGGGCAGACTATACCAACAGACAGTGATACCAGAGTAAAATGTGCCCTTAAACACAATTTTAACAGCACTGTTTTCCCAAGTGAAAGTAGCCTGCCGTTCACTTAGACAGTTTAGAAGCTACAAAATGATGATGATGATGATGATGATGATGATGATGATGATGATGATGATGATGATGATGATGATGATGATGATGATGATGATGATGATGATGATGATGATGATGATGATGATGATGATGATGATGATGATGATGATGATGATGATGATGATGATGATGATTAAATCTGCCTTTAATTCCAGGGATTACAATGAAACAGTTAATATTTAGGAGCCTCTTTACTGCTCTTGCCAGCCCAGCTTCCACCGCAGGTATTTCTGCTTTTGTTTGTTAAACTGTATGTGCATATTTAGGTCATCACACACACACACACACACACACACACACACACACACACACACACAGGTATTTCTGCTTTTGTGCATATTTAGGTCAACACACACACACACACACACACACACACACACACACACACACTCCTCCTCACATACTGGGACTATTCATCTAGACATGTGTGTGCCTCAGAAGGATTAGAAAGGATTAGAGCACCCACATAGGACAAGAAAAATGTCTATTCCCTCCAACTCTGCTGGATAAGGTCGTAATTCATCGCACATTAGGTAGAATACTGAGGACTCTGCCAGACTCACCTAACAAATCATAAAGGCAAGTCTTAGAAGATCAACGTGTTCCCAAGGAACTTAAGATTTATAAGAATAAAAAATATTCAGTCCCAATAAAGTAAATTTGTAATGTCTGGCAACTGGTCAAAGGTGGCTAGGCATACAGCAGAGGCAGACCAACGTGACACGGGATTAAAAGGAATAACTAATCAATTAAGACACAGGTGTTGACGTGCCAGAGATGCACTGTTGCTGTCTAAAGCTTGGAACTCTGCTTTGGGGCAGGGAGGCTTCACACTCCGGCCGTGAGAGAAGACCGAATAATACAGAAGAGAATTGCAGTGTACACAAATGTGTAGCAATAGGGACTGTCAAAAAAGCAAAGTCCAAAGCATGAAAAGGGAACCCATGCACCGGGGCAATCTCAAGGGATCCAACATGCAAGCAGCTGTGACCCCTTAAAAAGAAGGGAAGAAAAAAAAAAAAAGAACCAATTCTAAAAAGTTTCTAAACTTAAAATTAT